TATAGTCTACGTAAGAGGACAAAAAAAAGAATCTTAAAGGGACTGAGCTTGTTGCCATCTGAAGGGTAATTGGGTGACCTCTATGAATATAAAAGTTCCAAAAGTAACAGCAACAACAAAGGTGAAGGTTATTTCTACACTGTAGCTATCATCAGGATATTATTATACTTGATTTGTCTGTGTTTTTAGATGGAAGGCTATGGGATATGTATTATGGGTTTGTCAGGAGCAGAATGTCAAATAGACCAGTATGAGAGCCTTAATACTGAAATATTTTAAGCACTGGATCCCAGAGAATAAATTTTGTCTTGGAAATCCTTTAGAATGGGGCAACTAGCTATTTTAAAGGTATCATCTAGAATTAAAATCACATATCACACATCCTAGATTCACCTAAAAACTTGGCTTAGGATCCTGACTGTTTCAGTTTGAATATTTGGGAGCTGATTGATTATAAACAAGTCAGTTGCTATGAGGATCATCTAGTAATCTATTAAATAAATGTAACATGACTTTTCTTCTATAATGTAGTGAGGATCTACAAGAAAATTAATCTAAACATTTCACATTTATTTATTCAGTACCACTTAAGGTGTATCATCAGCTGGTCTCAACACATGTACATAAATTCATTTAGTCCCACATTCTATGGGTTTGAGCACTGCTTTACATGTGAGGAAACAAAGGAACAGAGCATCAATAACTCATCCAAAGCCATATACATACTAACTGTAAGTCTGTGCTGCACCAGATCTCTAGTCTTTGTTCTCAATCATCACACAATCCCACCACTCTGAGCACAGTACCCAAGCTTACTAGCATAGTGACTGTCAAGTGATAGTGGGCATTTTACTTTGGGTACAGATCAACTTGATTTACTCCTTTTTTGATATAATAGCCCATGAAATTTTTATAAATAACAGGTTGCTTAATTCAAGAAAAGTAAGATGGGAGAGTAAAATATATAAAAAGAAAGGGAGGAATTCACCAGCTATTAGTTTAAAGAGATCCCTCATCAATAGAGGGACAGATCATTACTACATGTGATGTATCTCAGTCTTCCAGTGGCTAGGAGCAGCTATTTCAAAATGCAATTAACTTAAAATAAACTTGTTATTTCATAAATATGTCTCAGTATAACTTGTATAACAAAACTCGATGCGAAATCTTCCTTTTTACATGCTGAGTTTGATAACATTTATTTAAAACCATTTGATGTCAGGTTTGAGAAGTGACAAACTGACCAGATTTAACTTGTGTATGAACATCATTTTCAGCTCATGGACTCAAGCATTTTATTAGTCCAAGATACATTATAAATAATGCACTGTGAGCTAATTGACAAGTACCTAACCATATGACTTTTTAAATAAATTAGTCCTTCTGCTGCCTACACCACTCCACATTTGTTCCCTTCCAGGGGTTTGTGTGCAAAGTGAAGACAATAGTCTCTAATCCTTAAAATCAGGTCTATTCCAGAATGATCAATAAATGGTAGTGATTATTACTTCAGAAACCACAGAATTTGCTTAGGGAATTTTAACCCAAAGGACTTCTTTTATTGTCCATATTTATCACTGATCACTCGATTCAAAAGCCAATAACTAACTGTATTTCACATTAAGGTTCAACAGCTCCAGACAAAAGTCAAAAAATGCTATTATAATGCAGTGTAAATTTGAGTATTCTCTCATTATTTTTGCTGGCATTGTTTACTGGATTTGGTTTACTATATCTACATACTTCCTCTCCCAGTGAGTATCCAATTGAAAATGATGGACCAAAGAAATCAGATCAGTGAGAGGTTCTAATTGGTGTGTGTGTGTGTGTGTGTGTGTGTGTGTGTGTGTGTGT